TTACTCTGATTTTATTTTAAAAACATAAACGAAATCGGTCTTTTCTGGCCGTAAAAGTGGGGATGTCACAACTTTATACAAAAAGAAACCAAAATGGAGATATTATGATTGTGTGTTTGTATGTGGATGACATGATCTTCAACAGAAAAAATCCAGGTATGTTTGAAGATTTTAAGAAAGTAGTGACTATAGAATTTGAGATGACAGATATTGGCCAAATGCCATACTTTCTTGGAGTTGAATTAAATAAAATCAATGATGGAATATTTATGTCACAAAAGAAGTATGCGGAGCAGATTTTACAGAAGTTCCATATGGAAGATTGTAAACCAGTCAACACACCAACAGATGTCACACCCCCGAACCAGGACGGCGGAAAAGTCCGGGGGCGGATGACGTCATTGTATTGTATCATCACAATTGAATATAAATGGACATATCAACCCACACACATACATTAAGAGATACCAACATACATTGTTTACATATTGTATTTGTTCATGAATTACACAAAAGTGACATAAAGTAAGAAATTCCAATATGCTGCAAATCTGGTTCTTAGGTACCTACTTACTGGTTCTCTGAGAATACAAGTCATTTTGAAAATCGTCAACATTAAATGTTGGTGAGTTCATAAGCAGATTTGTATGAAAAGATTTGTAACATCTTTGATTGTAAATAGTGGTGTATCTCCAGAAAATCCGATATTTTCTATGAAAATGATTTGTATGTCTCGTATCCAAAACTTGTGAATATATGGATGCATGTCCTTGGTTTTCTTTTGTTTGTAATTCTATGTTCCCAGAAAATCCTATATTTTCTGTTGTATGAAAAACTGTGGTCTTAAACCCTAGACCCGTGGTGAAAAACAATAGTGTACCGGGAGGAAAAATGCAGTTTTATATTTTATAAAACCGGTGAAGTGTAAGCTTCCCGTAAATCAAGATAGTATTTTTAATCCCTAAGTGAGTTATTATAACCATGCTTGATTTGACTGTGATGCCTGTTACGACGTTCTTCAGGCGTCGGAATCGGTAAGGTATTTGTCACCCTAGACTGGCCCCGTCTAGCTGTAGCGAACAACTCAGGTGTGGGGGTGTCAATCCCCGTATAGATCTATACACAACTATCTCGCTCTCTCTCCAGGAGACTCTGGTTATCATGCAGGACTTAGAATGTACACTAGATAGGTACGGTAAAGATAGTGTCTCACTAGAGCCTTAACGAATTTACACGAACTTTCACTCCCATTATTGAATAATGAAAAGGACATTACTAGTGTAAATTTATGACTGAAGTTTTATGACACGCGATTCAAAGGTTTCATGACTCGCTGTTTATGACACGCGTTTTACAGATTTCATGACATGCAGTTTATTACTCATGCTTTATGAGCTTTATGATAGGCAGATTATGACACGCGGATGTTTCTGTCATGAATTATATTTTGTATACCATTTTGGTTAAATTATTTATAATGCTTTTTATAAATAATCATTAGTGACATGTCTAATTGTAACATATGTTGTAAAAATAGCATAATATCTTCGGTTTTCAGCCATCAAAATAGTGACAACATAGTTACGACTATTTTACTAATAAAAATTATTTTTAGCAAAATATCAAGCTTTGTAGTTTGTTTAACACACCATAACCGGTTTGAAAGTTTTTTAACACAAAATATTTTATTTTGTTTTGACTCTAATAAGTCACGATTTTTACAAAAACACATATAATAACCTTGAGATTTATTATATTCAAATATTTGTGTAAAGTATAAGAGTTGAACATGCATATGTCCAACAGTTAAACATGTTTAGGTATAACACTCATATTTTCTCCATTTTTGAGTGTACAATCATGACAACGAAAACTTTTATGTAACAAAGATGTTATCAACATTTACTTCACGATTTTAACACATGTTAAGAACCTTTTAATTCAAGAACTTGTTCCATTTTCAACCCATAACTATGATGCATGCAATTACCCAAAGGATAAACTTAATCTAGCATACTTGGAGCTTGTCAATCACGAGTTTATGGTGTGTTAGTATGAGATATTCAACATCATAAGCACAACTTGTTACATAAACATGATGGTGCATGCAAATATCCAAAGGGTAAACGAGACTTGACTTGTATTCCCCCCCCCCCCCCCAAAAAAAAGTATGAAAAACACGAAAATATGAGGGTATGAAGCTCACCTTGATTTCGTGTGATAGGAAGAAGAAGAAAGAAGTTGTTGAGCCTAGCCTTGTGTAACTTGAAGAGATTCTCGAAATTTCAAGTGCTCTAAGGATCATACACACGAAAATGAGTGTGTAAATGGAATGATCTTAACATAAACATGAATAAAAGCACTTTAAGTTTCACAAGGAACTTACCAAAATGCCTAGGCCCAATTTTGTGGTGATGATGCTCGAAATTTTGAGAGAAGAGATGAGAGGAATTTCTTGAGAGCAAAGTGAGTGAAATGAATTTGTAAGGTGTGTGTGTGTGTGTGCTCGGCCTCAAGTATAAGATGGAGAAGGAAATTTAGTGCCTTGTTGCATGTGGGGTATTTGTGGGTGTTGCATGGAGGCATGGAGGTTAATCCAGTGCTTAGCTTGGTTGTTCTATAGTTATAAGGGTGCAAAGTCATGAGGTGTCACCACCTTTTACCATTTCTTTTTTTTTGTTTGTCTTGACTCCCAACCGAAACCCTAGGAGGTTTTTGGCCACAGAGGCTTCCCAAGGGGGTTTTCGGTTTTAGGGTGGCCGAAAACACCCAATGTTCTTAATGGATTTTCGGTTTGGAGTGTGTATGAGCTTTTGAACTTAATTGGGCCCAATAAGGGAGTTTTCAGTCCAATAAGGCCAAAAGAAATGGGTTTTCGGCCTAGAGTGTTTGGGCCCAAAATTCTTGGGCCAAGGCCCAAAATTGATTGGGTTTAGCTATTGGATCAAGTTTTTGGGCTTGCAAGAGGCTATTTCAACTTGATTCTCAATGTATGCTCATATGTATTCAAATAACATTGTAGTTTGAATTTCACTAATTTGATGCAGTAAGGTTACATAGAGAAAATTGTTTTGTGCATAAATCACCATCTCAACCCTAAATTTGCTAGTTGTGACAGCAGAAGCAGGAATGAAGCTAAGTGTTGAATCAGTTAGAGAATCTGTAAACCCAACATTGTTTAAAAGCTTGGTGGGAAGCTTAAGGTATCTGACTTTTACTCGCCCAGATATTATGTATGCAGTTGGAGTAGTCAGTAGATACATGGAGAAGCCGAAGCAAGATCATTTCATTGCAGCTAAGAGAATTTTGAGATACATAAAAGGTAAGCTGAATCATGGTTTGTTTTACACATACTCTCAAGATGCAAAATTGGTTGGCTATTCAGATAGTGATTATGGTGGAGATATGGATGATGGTAAGAGTACTTCTGGATATGCATTTCATATTGGATCACCAGTGTTTTCATGGTCTTCAAAGAAGCAACAAACAGTTGCTCTTTCAACATGTGAAGCAGAATACATGGCAGTTGCAACATGCACATGTCAAGCTATTTGGTTGAAGAATATTTTGAGTGAATTATATTTCACATATGAAGATCCAATTAAGGTGTATGTTGAAAATAAGTCTGTTATGTTACTCTCGAAGAATCCTGTGTCACACAGTCGAAGCAAGCATATCAACATAAAGTACCATTTCATTCGGAAATATGTAAAAGATAGAGTGGTTGAGCTGGTGCATTGTAGAACTGAAGAGCAACTAGCTGATATTTTTACAAAGCCTTTGAAGACAAAAAGATTTTGAGAAAATGGTGAAGATGCTTGGCATGCATAGTTGGGTTTGAGAGGGAGTGTTAGAAGTCAAACCCAACTTAGTCAACACAAGTCAACAAAAAGAGGTTAAAAATAAAAGTCAAGAATTGTTATCAACAACTTTCTTAGTTGTTAAGTCTTCTTAGATATTAAATTTTCTTAATCATTAACTATTCTTAGTTATGAAGTTTTCTTAGTCGTGAAGCAATACTTCCTTATTAAGTTTTACTTAACCTTTAAGTTTTCTTCTAAGTTAAGTATTTCTTAGTTTTGGCTACCTATATAAGGACCTAATGTTTGTAAGAAAAATGTAAGTGAAAAAGAAAGAAAAGCAAGTGAAATGAAAGTTAACGGAGCCGTAGTTCTCGTTTAAATAGTTGAGTTGTTCTTGTGTAAGATTAATTTTACTCTATCATCGTTCTTTATAACCACCAACAGTCCCTAAGATTAGAAAGTTCACAATCACAAACTAGGGAACAAACAAAAGAAATAGCAAACAAGGATTAAAGAGCAAAAATTATTGACTTCAAATTACAAACTTGTGCGTATGTTCCTTAGATCTAAAAGCAAAATCTAGAAAAATATTGACTTCAAGAATACAAAGTTCCTTCATGTCCTTGTAGGATTTACCCAACATCAAAAAACAAAGTTCTACGTAGACCACTCTCTCTGTTTCATAGCACAAACAAATGGTCATCCAATAAGAATGTGCTAAACTACAAAATATAAACATTACAAAAAAAATTATTTCTGACCATATCATAAAAATATTATTTTTTTGAATCGCTAACACACCTTGTAAACTTCTTTATACCACAACAAGACTTGACACCTTAACCCTTACAGTTCATAAGTAGGATCCAAATTGATATAAAGCATAACATATTGAACTAAAGCGGTCATAAGGAATTACTTGTTGCCTCGAATTTCATTTTGTCGATTGAATGCATAATCGACACCTTCAACTCCTAACGCCCAATATAAACAAAGGAACACAAGATCATTCAATTTCTGCTGAAAATGGGGGAAGGTCCGATATTGGAGGGGTATAACGGAGGAAACCAGATAAATTGATGGAATTATAAAATTTGAAAAGATATTTCTTAGTTCCAAATTGGCCATATATAAAGAATGATTTCTTGTACTCTTGTAGCCAAAGTCAGAGCCTTATTTCCACCAAAGATATAAAAAATGGCTTCATTGTCATTCACAAAAATCTTTATCTTGTTCTTGATTACTTTGCTGTTCTCGATATCAAATGCCGACCCTTCTCCACCATACAAACTCATTGACAAAGTTTGTAACAAACTACAAGACATTGACGACTGCTTCCAGTTCCTAGAATCTGATGACAAGAGCAAGTTTGCAGAAAATATAACCATCCTTACCACGATTGCAGTCGATCAGACAACAAAACATGCAAATGCAACACGAAATATATTCCGTGAATTGAAAACTGGTTCTCCTGGTGTGTTGAAATCTCTCAAAGATTGCATCCATTCATATAGTCACGTGATCTCGAATTTAAAGATTCGTATGTTTGAAGAAATTTGTTCTTTGATTGCTAATGACATTCAAGTTGCAGTGGACAAGGTTAAACATCGTCAAATGATTGTGGATTCAAATGGGGCTCATGGTTCCTTTATTACAACTCTTAATAATGTCATTCTAGATCTTTGTAAGCTTTGTGAGTTATTAGCCAACCTTATGTGTAACCTTAAATTGAAGACAAAAGTCATGACACTTTAAAGTTTAAACATATATACACTTTTCCTCCTTGCACTTATACGTTATTAAATATTCTTTTACATTTTCTTCCTACCTATCATCATATTCATATTAAATGATGACAAGTTGATTAAAATAGTAATAATTTCATTAAATATGATACATATCAAAATTTGACATGGATAGGAGGATAAAGAGGAAGAAAATGTAGAATATTTAGGTTGCCTTTAATTACGGAAAAACAAATTTCATTTTCCGTTATTCGTTTTCTCTTTTCAGTTTTCGTTTTCTATTTTCAGTTTTCATTGGAAAATTTAGAAAACGCGATTAGTTAAAACTTATTCATTATTCATTTTCAGTTTTAGAAAATTAAAAAACGTGTTTAGATGTGTATTTTTCTACTGGTTTTCATTTTAAAAAAAACGATAGCGGTGGTAGGGTGGGCGTGGGGACGGTGGCATTGGTGGGGGCAGCAGCGGGGGGCAGTGCTGGTGTCGATGATGACGGTGGTGATGGTGATGGTGGTGGTATCAGTCGGAGATGGGAAGATGGCATCGACAGCGACGCCAAGACATGAGCAGATGAGACGGATTCCATCTTCAAAGAACAAAAAAGCTCTACGTAATTTTCGTTTTAAGGGTTTTTATTCTTCTCGATTTTATTTCTCTGCTTCTATATTTTTGATGTAATTTGTTTAAATTGAAATATATTTGATATGTAATGTGAATAGTATCCATAGAAAAGAATTATTTATTTTGGGTAACTGTTAATTTGATCTCCTAGTTTTATATCCTTTTGGATAAGAATATTGAATAAATTTTATAAAACCTATTACAAACTTTCGTAGCTTGCACTGATTTGGGTGTCCATGGGTGTCCATTTAAATTTATATTAGGTGTCCATATTAAACTATAGACATAAAGTATGGAAGGAATTTCAAACCAAGGGGTGTACATGGACACATTAGCAAAGCATGGCATCGCCTCTGAATGTGGTGTACATTATATTCAAAACTTAACCACCTCTCATTTTTTGTATCTATTATTTTACCATACCCTCAAATACTTTTCATATGTATCCATTAGCAGAAATTCCTAGAAAATTATCCCCCTAACTAAATGGAAAGAGAATAATTCATGTCAACCATATAAAAACGATTTCTAATCACATGCTCACTAATTATATCCAAATTGAAGAGAAGACCTCATGATTGCTTACATGAGAAAAGAATACCAAACAGTGAAAATTACTTTAGCACAAGTGTAAAGACCATACATAAGCATCATCAAAATTACTCAAACCAACATATCACAAAGAGTGAAAATTTCTTAAATTTGAAGGAAAAAGAAGATAAAAGACTTCAAATATAAAAGATATGAGGCTAAAGATCGCATAACTTCAAATGAGAATCTAACTTCCAAGGTCTTCTTATCAAACAGTAACTCCCCCCGTTTAATTACCCTGACAAGTAACAAGTAACAAACACAATCAATATGTTCATAAGTCGAATCAAATCAAAATCAAAATTGATATAAAGAATAACAAATTGAACTAATTAAGCAGCCATAACGAATTAGCTGTCGCCTCGGATTTACTTGTGTCGATTGAATGCATAATTAACACCTTCCAAATACATTTAAATCCTAATGCCCAATTTATAGAAAGAAACACCGGATCATTCATTCACAATTTCTGCTCTAAATGGGGGAAGGTCCAAGATTTTCATCCGAGATTGGAGGGATTAGGGAGGAAATTGGATTAATTGATGGACGTTTAAAAAAAACCATGCATTCTTTATTTGTAATTTTTGTTTGTAAATTTGTCCAATATAGGTATAACTGAGGAAACCAGATAAATTGATGGAAAAATAAAATTTGAAAAGATATGCATTTATTAGTTACAAATTGGCCTTATATAATGCATGGTTTCTTGTACTCTTGAAGCCAAAGTCTGAGACTTATTTCCACCGGAGATAAGAAATGGCTTCATTGTCCTTCACAAAAATCTTTATCTTGTTTTTGATTACTTTGCTGTTCTCGATATCAAATGCCGACTTTCCTCCACCATACAAACTCGTTGACAAAGTTTGTAACAAACTAGAAGACACTGATGTCTGCTTTCAGATCCTTGAATCTGATGACAGGAGCAAGTTTGCAGAAAATATAACTATCCTTACAACTATCGCATTCAATCAGACAATCAGACATGCAAACGCACTACGAAATGAACTCCGTGAATTGAAAACCGGTTCTCCTGGTGAGTTGAAATCTCTCAAATCTTGCAGCCATGCGTATACTCATGTGATCTCGAATATGAAGATTCTTATGTCAGAAAAAAAATTGTTCTTTGATTGGTTATCACATTCAAGCTGCTGTGGACAAGGTTAAACGTTGTCAAAGGATTTTGGATTCAAATGGGGCTCATGGTTCCTCTATTACAACTCTCAATAATGTAACTCTACTTCTTTGTAAGCTTTTTGAATTATTAGCGAAGCTTATGTGTAAGCGTTAACTAAAATTTTAGATGTTTATATTTATGAATAATTAGTCAAAAATGGTCTTGTAGTCTCCTTCGCAACTTTTCGGAGTTAATTTTGGTTTTCTTTGTTGTGCAATAGTCACCGGAATCATTAACAAATAATTAGGAAAGAAAATAATCACCAAGAATGAATTTTCTTATTTCATTGTGATATGCGATACAAACGAAGTGATAAACACACAAAAAAAAACTACAAAACTCTTACTGTACTTCTCCTAAATTGAAGACCAAAGTTAAATATTTTATTTTGTATATATTCTTCTTAAACTTCAAAATATCATATTTGTCCAACCTAAGTTATAAATATCATATTTATGTTTTGTAAACTTTTAGAATATCATATTTGTCCAAATCCTTATTTTTAGCATTTTTAAACAATTTTATAATCATTTTAATTATTTACTTTTACCAATTGACTATTACACCCCATTATGATGAAGTAATTAACTATCAATCATATGCTTTGAACAATTTTCTATTATAATGAACGGATGCCAATGCTATAAAGACCAAATAATACCTATAGAGTAATTTATATTTAAACATCTGACAAAGAATTCGTCACTAGCAGTATAGAAACTCAACGACATAAATATGGTGGGTTTTATTGATTTCTTAACACAATTAGCAATCTTTAAGCATTGCGGATGCCATTTTCCGAAGTCGGATTAAACAAAATCAATTAAAAATACAATTTTTAAAGAACAATTTAACAAAGCATTGGCAGCTAGTGACCTTTCACCATTCTTTGCAACAATATATACGAATGGGGCTACAGGAGATGCCAAACTAAACTTTCTTTTTTGCCATTAAAAAACCCTACAAGAACGCACAACTTATTTTCATTTTCATGGAACGAAATTAAACCTTGAACTTCATATCTATGTCCATGCCATTGAAGAACATGATTACAAAGGGTTGTAAGAGGGGTATAATAGTCTAATTGATAAAAATAAAGATTTAAAATTATTATAAAATGTTTAAATATGTTAAAAATAAAGATTTGAGCAAATATGATATTTTGAAAATTTACGAAAGGTAAATACGATATTTAAAACTTAGGTTGGACAAATATGATATTTTGATGTTTAATAAGGGTATGTATGAAATTCACCCTTAAACATATATACATTTTTGGTCAAATCTTGAAATTTTAAGAGGTATAAATTAATAGGCACCATGTACAACTGTCTTATGCAAAAAATATATATTGAAAAGAGCATGCAATATGGAGCTTAATATCCTTCAAATCTTTGCAACAATTATGAAACTCATAAGGTTTGAAAATGAGCCTCACATACACATCAATTAAAAAATCCGGTAATTTTAATACCAAATACCCCAATGTAGGCAACTATCAAGAAATTTGTAATGTTTTAAAATGGGTGGCATATATGTACAAGCTTCATCTACAAAACAACAAGGCGAAAAACATAAAAATTTAATGATACCTTGAATTAGGACGTGATTTATTATTTCAATTCTAAAATAGGATCCAATATTGAATTGTGAATCTCATATCTAGGCTGGTTTTCTCACTTGTCGGCTTCCCTCCGAGAAAAGATAAGGAGGGAAAAAATGAAATTATATTTTGGTGTTCCTGAGTTAGAAAGAAAGGAAATGGAGGATTACGCGTTAAACTTGGGAGGAAGATTAGAAGTCAAGATCACCCCTTGTTTTCTTTTTTCTTCTCTCCAATTTCTTCCAAAAAATAATCTCAAGAACAAAACACTCTTTTCTTCCCGGTTCTCCTCTCTTCCCTTCTTTTCCCTCTTTAAGTTGTATTAAGAACCAAGGTGTTATGACATGTTTGGTACAGAGAAATAAGGCTAAAGATTAGGAATTGACTATATTTCTCTTGTTTGTTTACAAATGGAAATAAAAAATGAGAAAAAAACTCAATTTCCACCCCACGATTTTCATTCTCTATTTTGTGTAGAGAAAATGTGGGAATTAAAAAATAGCCAAAGAAATTCTCGTTTTTGTAACAACCCAAATTTCGAGTCCAAAAATTTCATTTTTAATTAATTGATTTATAAAACTTCCATAAGAAAAACATAGTAAAGACATATCATTTCGTAAAACTAATATCTCATGTCTGAAAACCAAACCATAAACATAACAATGTAAGAGTACAATCCCAAGAATCTCGTAATGGGGAAATCCAACGTGTGTGTGTATGATGTGCAGCCACCGCGCCAGCTTCTTCCCCTTTGCTGGAGAGGTACCTGAAACAAAACTGAAAACTGTAAGCACAAAGCTTAGTGAGTCCCCCATCGTACCGCATACCATACAATCACATAACATACATATATTGTCAGACATATCTGGGTGCCCGACCTACCCCTTCGGTCCTCTCGACCGGATACTGCCTAGCATATATGGGTGCTGGCCTCCCCTTCGGTCCTCTCGACCGGATACTGCCTAGCATATGTGGGTGCTGGCCTCCCCTTCGGTCCTCTCGACCGGATACTGCCTAGCATATCTGGGTGCTGGCCTCCCCTTCGATCCTCTCGACCGGATACTAGGGACTATTTCACCCCTCTACTACTATCACATAACATATAACACATAATTGTATTCTATCTAGCATGACTGGGTATGACTACCCCCTTCGGCCCTATCGACCGGAAGTCTTGGGGACTATCTCCCCTACTGCTACTAGCATATAACATCATATCATACTAGCACGTAACACATCAGGTAGTAACCAACCTAGATGAATATCACAAAGACAATCATCTAACATACAACTCCTACTGGTGGGCCGGCATTGTGGCCGTAGACCCACAACTACTGAAAGGTAACTCTCCTCGCAAGGCTGACTGCTGAAAAGCTGATCGGCAGATGTCTGACTGCTGCTCCGGTGATCCTCCGGCTATAAATCCATAAAACACTTAATCAGACACTGATAACTACTCTTAGGGTAAAATGACTATTTTACCCCTGACCAAGTCAAAGTCAAAATCAACTTCCAGTTGACCTGAATAGTCGAGTTGGGACGCCAACTCGTCGAGTCCCCATCCTTTCATCTGCCCTTCTTCACGCCCCTAGTCGTCGAGTTTAGCAATGACTCGACGAGTTCTCCTTCTAAAACATCATGGAATGAACCTTCATCCGACTCGCCGAGTTGTATGAACAACTCGTCGAGTTCATGCCCATCCTATGAACAAGTTTGCCCTTGACTCGCCGAGTTGTATGAACAACTCGTCGAGTTCATCTTCGAACGTTGGGAGATTGCCTTGGACTCGCCGAGTCTGTTTATACACTCGCCGAGTCCTATGATCCCCAGGACTATGGCTAAGTCTAATGCGTTGGGTCATTCCCCCGGACCCCTCTAAGACCACTCTAACCCTCACTGGGTTCCTTCGAACCATAACAGAAAAGGGAAGTCAAGCCATGGACTCGCCGAGTCCCAAGAACGACTCGCCGAGTCGAGAATGACTAAGTCTTATTTCTCGATTTCTGACGTACAACACTTGACCAAAAGATAGATCCAGGCTTCTAGGATCGATCTAGCACGTAAAGTTACGAACTTTACGTGCATGCATGGGACTATGAGCTCAAATGGCCCGAAATGAGACTCTTATGATGCATGGGGCTCTCTAAGGCTCCAAAATCCGTCCCTTTTTGCCTTGTAACCCCTCAAAGACCTTGGATCTGAAGTCTTAGCCCCCAACTATGCTTGCACTCATGGTTGGTCACCAAGAATGGCTCCTAAAAGCCCTAAATCACCCCAAAAAGGGATCTAAAACATGAAAGAGCAAGGTATCGGCTTTATACCTCTAAAGAACTGCAGTGGGTGCACAAACTCGAACACCTCTGGCCTCCTCTTGATTCCAAAAGTCTTTCTCTTCCTTCTTGTGTTCCAAAATCACCAAAAACCACCACAAAGGCCTTAGATCCTTACACAAACGATTAGGGTTTGATATGGAGAGTTCTGAGAGCAATAGGGACGAAGGGAGGCTGAATGAGATGTTTAAATAGGGTGCAATCCCTTAAATTAGGGTTTTGTCCAGTCAGGGCCTACTCGTCGAGTCTGGCTGCCGACTCATCGAGTAGGTCATTAAACTCTCGGGTCCAAGTCGCTCCTACTCGTCGAGTTTGCCATCAACTCGCCGAGTTCGAGGAAAAAAAAAGAATAATACTTGAACGAAATTCATACCAGGAACCGAGTGCTACAAATCTCCCACTTATCTTAGACTTCGTCCTCGAAGTCTGCTGGTCGGCCCTGAAAATGCTCTGGATAATGCTCCATCATCTCGTCCACCGGCTCCCACGTCCACTCCGAGCCCTTCCGGTGTTGCCATTGCACCTTCACTAGCTCGACCTTCTTGTTCCTCAGATCCTTCGACTTCCGGTCGAGGATCGCCACGGGCCGCTCAATGTAGTTCAGGCTGCCATCAACCTGTATATCCTCTAGGGGCACCACTGACGAGTCGTCCACCAGATAGTTCCGCAGCTGGGAGACGTGGAAAGTGCCGTGGATCTGACTGAGTTCCGCTAGCAGATCCATCCGACATGCTACCTTGCCCACCCGGGCCAAAACCCTGAAAGGCTCGATATACCTGGGGCCCAGCTTGCCCCGCTTCCTGAATCGGATGACGCCTTTCCAAGGCGACGCCTTCAGGAGAACCATATCCCCGACCTAAAACTCCAGATCTGAACGACGCTTGTCGGCATAGCTTTTCTACCAACTCTGTGCAGTCTGAAGCCTGCTCCTGACCTGCTGAATTCTTTCTGTCGTCTTGAGCACCACTTCGGTGCTCCCCATGACCCTATGGCCAACCTCACCCCAACATATCGGGGTCCGGCACTTCCTCCCGTGTAACATCTCAAAGGGAGGACG